GCAGAACCCACGCACCCGTTGTTGGTGCCTGTGCCGGCTCTTGCCCGGCACGGCCTCCGTGCCAGCTACTTCTCCGCGGGGCGAACACGCGCTTGTGCGGCGAGGAGCGAAGCAACGGGCGATGCGTTCGCGTGCTCCCCTTTGTGGTGCTCAGCGGGGAACAGAAACAGAGCCGCCCGTCCCCCCCGAGTTGGCGGAGCGTGCTGAGCCCCCCCACCTCGCCGGAGGGCTGCCGGGCGCTGCTGCGGGGGGGCACGGGCTGGCGCCTTCGCCGCGCTGCTCGGGGCGGGACGGGTCCAGCAGCGCCCCAACGCGCCTGCCCAGCTGGTGGGCGCGATACCTGCTGGGGCCGACTGTCCCCCGGGGACGGGGGGGCGTCTGTGAGAAGGGGAGGGGGCTGGGAGACAAGGAGGAGGGGGCACAGATAAACCAGCAGCCCGTTTTCTTTTATTCAGAGCTGAAATAGCGTGGTCAGGCGGAATAGATACCGGGGACGCCTCTTCCCACCTCATTTGTGATGCTTAGGCTGAAGCTTGCTCTGCAAAATTGCAGCAATACGAGCCACTTGCTTCTTTTTCAAACTTAATATTCCAACAGCAAGCAGGAGTGTATTGATTTAAGCATAATAAAATTATATTTATGTAATTTTAATTTATTTTTAATTCAGCATTCGGAGTACTGCCAGACCTAATTCTTGCCTGTTTCCATCTTCCAGATAAAGCCAGGACCAATCAAGGCAGCTGGTTCTCACGTTGAGCGCTCTGCTTTAGTGTACTGCTACAACTGTTCCCAGGAAGGACATTTTGGATACGTAAGTCTCAGCAGCCTCTGCCTCAATGTTGAGTATATCCTTGGGGTAGAAATTAATCTCTGCCACGGAGTGTGGTTGGGGAAAGAGCTGGAAGAGCCAGAGCTGTGGGAAGGGCTGCCCAAACGAAATGTCTGTGACTTTGCAGCATTGCTGCAGTCAGTGGAGGCCAATGTATAAAATGGTCTCACCCATCTAATTTAAAGATACGGAGGAAAAGAAAAGTTACTATCTCTCCTTGGCAGGTTTATTGATTTGGTTTTTTAAATCCTAAATCAAAATGAGACTGCCTGGGAGACAGAATATTCACTGGAAAATAGTTGCTGAACACAGCTTTTTAATTTTTTTTTTTTTTTTTTTTCCCCCCATGACTCATGGGATGCAATATTAGTGCCTTAGTGCCATGTTCAACGTAACATGAGGTTTTTCACTGCAGTCAGCCCAACAATTTGAATGCCCATTTTAGGAATTTTCTGTTTCTGCCTGCTTTTGATGATCCTTATTTGTGGTAGCGTGTAGTCTAATTCAACATCTGGAGTAAGTCTGACATCGTCCTTTTGTAAGGTACACAGCCCGGTGAAGGAGGACCTTGTGAACCTTAAGTGGCTTCGATAAAAACAGGAGATGTGCTGCATCTTCTAGGATTGCTTGCTGATGCTTATCACCTTTTTCAGCCCCCTGTCATGACAAGCGCAGCTCTCTACCTGCAAATGTCAACACCAAACAAATGTTAGTTCTGTTCTTTTATGGAGTAAGTCCAGGAGCTGCATACTCTAGAAAATTAATGTTACTCATACGTTGGATAAGTTTATAGTTTCCTGCAGCTCAGAGATAGCAAATTCCCAGCAAATTCCTTCCTTCTCTCCTGCACGCTCTGTGTGTCAACTTCTACAACTCCTGAAGATGTACCGTCAAAAGCTTTCTGCTGCTTTTGGTTAAATAGTTAATCCCTGTGGGGAACAGTGGGACAGGTTGTTGGAGAATGGCCCAGAGCCAAGGGTCCTGAGCCCACCGAGCAATTGTACGATCAGAGCCTGTTCTAAGGGCTGATGCTGCCTCGCTGATGCTGGGCCTCACTAGGGTTTGCCTGCAGCTGCTGATACATGAGGAATGTCAAGGATGCTTTGGCCTTGTGTACCGTGGTGTGTCGAAAACAGGAATTAGAAATAGTGGCATGAGAAACTTAGTGTTATGAGAAGCTTGTGCTGTTAGCTAACTGCAAGTAGGTGGACCGTGTGAATACGACCTTTAGAGGTTAAGCCAATCAGCTAGTGACTAGTAGGCATAATAATTATCATTGTCTGTATAAATATATGTACCCTGGGCCAATAAACACACACGTAGATTGATGCTCTATCACCCACACTGAACCCGTCTCGGCGTGTCGTTCGTCCGCGGCGCCGCAGCAGGTAGGCCGGGTTTGCTGGAATCCTCTCATGGCAGAGCTGAAAGATAAACAGAAGACTTTTAACGCCAAGCTGCCTTTGGAGGCAAGTGGAGATTTCCCTCTTCGAGCGGAGCGTGGCGGCCATCGCAGACGCCCAGGACACGCTGCTGCCCGCACAGCCGGGCTGGAAGGGGCAGGAATAAGGATCTGTCGCCGCCCAAGCTCGGTGCAGGGTCTGGCGTCCCCCCAGCACGGCAGCAGTACGGGGGGCCGAATCCTTGGCTTCGCCTGCAAGGCATCTGCTCGGGGCACCGCTACGCGTGCGGCAGCAGTGCGAGACACGTGTGAGCCGGCTTCTTGCGCCTGCTGCAAAACCTGTGAAAGCCGCACGGAAACCGATCCTGTGAAACAAAGCCAGAGTAGAGCCCCCGCCAGCAGTACGGACGCCAAAATGAGCATCTAGGGTAAAAATTGAAGTGGGCAGATTGAAGAAGTGAGACTGATTGCTGGCAATGGGTACGGCACATCGTACGCAACTGTCAAAAAATGGCATCTGAGGCAGGCAGACAGACGTGGACACAAATGAGGCTGCTGTAAAAAGAATTAGTAAATACGTAGGAGGAGCTGATACTAATTACTTCGGTAGAAAATTATAGAAACTGTGTAAAATCAGTAAGGCAGTAAAGTGGCTCAAGGACAACATTTTATGGTTATCAAAGAAGATAAGATAGCATTTTTACTAGCGTACAAGGAGCAGGAGTGTCCTGAGCAATGACTGAACGAAAATGGAGAAGTCAATAGCAATGCAGGAGGGCAGAGATACCAGACCTCTCTAGGTACACACAGAAAAAAATGTCCAGGGCACACATCGGATTATGTGGTGATAACTGAGTACTTGCCCTCGAATCACTAGGCCTTCTGTCCAAGAGTGGCTGAGGAAACCGGGCTGGCAGCCTGCACCTGCACCTTCGCAGCAACCCAGCGGGGCCGGCCGTGCGTCTGAGATTCACAGCTCTCACCAGCTCAGAAAACTGAGGTCGTAATCCGTGCAGCTCTGTCAGAGCTTGAATGATCTGCCTATAATTTAAGGGGGAAACATGGGTTTTGGGGTTTTTTTTGGTTTGTCCTTTTTTTTTAATATGTAAATACTTTTAAGCAGGTAACAATTACTAGTGATAACAAGCATCTCTTAACATTTTTCCCATTTCTACACCTCAGGAACCCTGCTCTATTACTTTTTCTGAGCAAGTAAAGCAGAGGAATAACAAACTGACCAAGAGGAAGAGGCTGGGGTTAGTTTCGTATAGACGCACCGTATCAGTGCGTCTTTCCTTTCATGTTACCGTTTAATCTAGTTTAGGAACACCTGAAATTCCTTTTCCTTGCTAGAGTTCTAGGGAGGCCTTTCCCAGAAGTGGAGGCAAGAGCAAAAAGTTTGCTGAATCCCAGAGTTAACTGTGCAGTTCCAGTAAGGAGGCCACTGCGGATCACTTGTTGTTGTTTGTAGAAATGGACATTGTTAAGACATAAAGTGTCAGATGTTCCAACACCTGCAAGTTATGTTCCCTGAATTTGCTGTATTTTTTATTAAGACAGTCATGGGTTTATTTAAACTAAGGGTTTAATAAGGACAAGAAATCTTATCTTCTTTAGTAGACTTCACATCATGGTTAATTTCATAGCAGTCCACACATGCAGAACGTTGTCTCTTACGGTCCATAACAAAGATGTGGTTGTTTTAAGGGGTGTCCCTACAGGGAAGTTAAGAGGGAGGGCAAGTTAATGAGGGACAGCCCACTGCGTTATTCAGGCTGCAGCAAGTTCTCAAGGCAGCAGGGATGAGGAACTGTATGGTACCTGCAGACGTGCCTTGCATTCACACCCCGGTATGCCAATCACACAGAAGATTCCTCCTGTGGGTGGGTAGCAGGCTCTGCTTCCCTCCTCTCTGCGATGGCTCCAGCGCTGAGGACTGTCCCAGGAGTATCTAACAGAACACAGCGTACGGCAGCAGTGGCAGCTTAGAGAGGGAAGGACACAGCCAAGTGCGTGTTGGACATCGCTGAGCTGATTTATCAGTGCGGTGGAGATGAAAAGAGGAGTGCCGATTTGGGTGGCATGTGCTTTTCATTCACTAAGGCTCCTCTGTCAGCACGTTAACAAAACAAAAATAACCAACGGGCCACGTGCCTGCAGAGCAAGCCCTAGTTGTGAAGCGGGATCTCAAGCGGTACTTTTCACAAGTATCACAGAAAGATGAATGTGTCTGCATACTCCTGTGTAAAGCCAATCTATGTTGTTTTCAGTAACCTCTTTGGCAGTGTTTAAAATTTTCCTTCATTTATTCCAGATAGGCAGGCAGCTTCGTGCCCTGCCTAAAGGCCGCTCTTAGGTTCCACTCATGTGAAACACAGGTATTTGAAGTGTCATTTCTCCATTATGCTTTTCTCTCATCTTAAATCTGAGGATGGTAGATGGAGGACCCAGGAAAGATGAGAGCGGATGTTTCTTTGTGCGTTGATAGCCGGCTGTTAAAGGTGTGAAATCTGTTCCTCTTCCAGGCTATGCATATCTCAGATGAGTAGCAACTGAGAATGGCCTCGGGCGGTGGAGGGGCTTGCATGCCCCCTCCTAGGTCCCTTTCAGCCTGATTTCGCTGGGGGGGAAGGCTGACCCCCCAGACTGGGGACGGCTCCAGCTGCAGGCTGCCGTCGCTCGTCCGCGCTTCTCGTGCATGTGGAGACAAGCCACTTGTCACACAACCTAACGATACCCTTTTGGAGGACACCACAGACAGCAACCCAATGCTTCGTTTAATTTCAGCCAAGCAAAGGCCAAATACAAGCTGAGAAATATGCAATACACCTGAAATGCCTCTTTGATGTACTCTGAAAAACAGAGGAGAGGAGGCAGGAGGACACACAGGGAAGGGGGGTGCCAGAGGTGGCACTGAGTGGGAGAAATAGCAAATGCAAGGAGGAAGGCTGCTTAGCTTGTCATGGAGACATCAGGGTGAGTGAAAGCTCCTGACAGCTTCTCAAGAATGGCAAGGTCCAGAGTTCACTAGATTTGGGAAGTATCCAAGAAGTAGAAAGATGATACTATACTGCAAAACACAACAGGTAACAAGCAATTTACAAGGGGGAGAAAGCATCAGCTAATATCCCATGGTACCCCGAAAAAAAGACAGAACCACAGGAAGCATCCCAGCTAGCCCAGCCCGCAAGACATTGCCAAAACTTTGCATGCAGTGGTGAAAAAATTCACGCTCCTGAATCGAGTGTTTGGGCGACAGTCTGACGTGCACACGATGAGCCAGCCCCTGCCTCGCCTCAGCCCACTGTTCGGGGCTCGCTTCCTCTTCCCTGCCACCTGACGTGCTTGTGCAGCAGGCTGCTGCCGGACCCGCTGCTGGTTTGTCCCTGTGACAACCCCGCACGCAGCCAGACACGGTGGGCTGCGGGGGGGGGGTGCCGCTCGCTCCTTCCCGCAGCCCACCCCACCCCTCGGGCTGCCGCGCTCCTGCGTTCGCCCCGGGTGACCCGGGCTGGAGGAGCTCCCCCGCAATGAGAACCGCCCGTCTGCCGCGGAGAGGGGCCGCCTGGCTGTGCTGGGAGGGCGGAGGGGGCAGCGGGAAGCGGGGCCGGGGGTCCCGGCCCGGGCGCAGGCAGGACACCCCTCTGCCTCGGGCCCGGCCGCTCTCTTGGCAGTTCTCCTCGTGTACCTCGTGCTCGCCTCCTCCTCATCCTCTGCTCCTACCGGCGCTGCAGACGCGCGGTGACTGCAGGAAGACGCGGGGTTCCTTCCATTTGCTGCAAGAGGACCGCAGCTTGGCTCGCATAATGCGTGATTTTCTGCATGCGTGGGAAGGGTTGTTGGATGGCAACCAAATAATCCCTGGTTAAAGCCTTGCTGGCCGCACCCTCCACAGGCACAGACCACTCCCTGCAGAATCCGATCCATTTCCCTTCCGGAAAAATCACAACTCAGCCACAACTAATGTCTTGAAATGTGTTTTGCAGGAGTGCCTGGAAAAGAGGATGCATGGGAGCATGTTCCCTACTTCTCCATTCGTCTATTACTATGATGATGACTATGAAATCAAGAGAAGAGAGAACAGATTAAAAAGAAAGGTTGCAGGTACAATATATTTTGGGAGATCCTCCTGCCTTTCAGTTCTTTGAAATACTTTCTTCTGTGCTTGCTGCTTTTAGAAATATTGTGGAATTATTTTTGTGTATTGGGAAAAGCGATAGGGATTTTGAATGGTAGTAAAAGATTTGTGACTTTATTCTTCCACGTCTATCATGGAAATTTATTGTGTCAAAGCCACTAGGTGAGCATTGTCAGATGTTTTAATTCTAAAAAATCTACTGGCATTAAAAATGCTATAAACTAGCAGGAAGAGAATTAAACTGTAATTTGTTAAGATTCAAGCCTGTTGACAGAAAAAAAGAAAAAAAAAATATTAGCTAATGTCATACATACCTAAGGAAAGCTGTGTCAGCTCCGGTACTAGGCTTCAGCTTTTCTGCAAGGGTTTTGAAATAAACTGCTCTGTTTTACAGACCTACAGGAAGCTGGCCTTCTGCCAGAACAGCCCGAGATACCATGGCAGGAAGAAACACAGGGGGGGCACAGCCGTAAGAAAAAGAGCAAGTACGGGAAAGAATATGGGAAACATAACAAAGATGGGGAGTGTCATAAAAAGAAGAAGACGTCCTGGGCAGAGAAACCCAGACAAAAGAAGCACAGGAGGGATGTTGAAACCGGCCACAATTTTGAGGAGCACTTGCCTAGAGGGTCTAAAAGGCAGGCGTGTAAGGGCAGCCGAATCCACCACAGGTCCGTTTTCAAGGCATTCTCAGGCAGCAAGACTGCGTATGTGCAGGAGCGTCTGGAAGGTGCTAAGAGGAAGAAGAAATGGAAAAAGCAGAAAGACGATAATCCTGATGTCAACGAGAATTTATTCCTCATAAAACAGAGGGGGAAGAAGTCCAAGCAGAAATCGTGGTGATGGGGAAGTAGATAGGTAGCACCAGCATTTACTGGATCCGGCTCTGCCTTCTGTTTATTTTTGTCCCTCTCTTAGCACACTGAATCTGAGTCCGTCCCTGAACCCGGGTGGGCATGCCCAGGCACCAGTCCCACACCAAACACCCATCTCTGTTCCCGAAAGGGAGTGCTCTGTCCGTCGTGAACTGCCCGCGTGGCAGGCGGGACTCGGCGCTCGTGCCTGGAGGGGCTGTACTTTTCAGCCCCAGAATATAGGCTCTAAGTTTATTTTCTTTGCTTGGGGCAGCGGGGCGGGGGGGGGGTGTGGGAGGGAAAGGGGCCATGCTGGGTTTGGTAGGTTTTGTTTCTTCACCAGTGAGGTGTTGCTCTGCCTGTCGGAGCAGAATCTGCTGCTAGGGAGCACAATGCCTTTGGAGCTGACACTGGAGAGGCTCTCACGTCGGGAGGGGGGAGACCAGGGACGTTCCCCGTGGGCGCTCAGTCCTCTCTGGAGTGCAGCCGGGCACTTTTTCTGTTCCTCCCCTCCCGGGAGGTGCTGCGAGGCCGCTGCCTCGTGCTTTGGGAGGTGACAGTCCCCGTGTCGCGCTCCGATGCGGTGTCGTGGCCCCGCCGCCCGCGGTGCCACAGCTCCTGGTGTCGGTGCCGACCAGTCGGCAGGGCTGGAGAAAACAGCTGAGAACCCACCGGTGTTTACATCTCGAAGTAAATATGTCCTTGTTCCCCTTGGTGCGGAAGTTGTTTCTGTAGAAAAGGTAGCTAGCAGAGTAAAAAGACCTTACTTGATTCCAGACATACTGTGCTAAAGTTTAGTAATTTTTTAAAAGACAGTTATTTTTGTACACTGGAATTAAACAAGTATGTTGTTAAAAGCTTTGTAAGAATAAATGCTTCACCAGAGGAACAACCTAAATAAAATTTCACGTGAAAGATATAAAAAAATGTATGTTTGTGCTCCATTTTCTTACATTACCAAACATAATTAGAACCAGTGTCGTTTTCTCTTTCCGGAGCTGAAACTGCACCGCTGGCAAGGGATTTTCTGGTTTTGAAAAGGAAATTATCTATACTCTACCGATTCATGACCTACTCTATACTATACCACCCCTTTTGCTGAGCAATTGATAGTAACTAAGAGCACAGTTTCATAAAGGTGCATGTCCTCTCTTAATTCTTACTAAGAAATGGGCCTTTGGCTACGGTTGTGTTTTAAAATTAGAAAAGTATTTTTAACCAGTGCTAATGCAAGTGTATCTGAGAAGGGGAAATGGATACACTAGAAAAAATTCAGAACTGTCATTCTGCCAGTAGTATTGTATGCTGGTACTCCCTAAATTCATCAGCTTTTTGTTTGGCAAGGTCGCCAGTGAGAACACTGGTATTTTAGTGACCGTGTCACCTTATCTCAGAGGTGTTTGGAGTAGAGGTGTGCCGACATGATACCTGGGATCCTAATGCCCGGTTTTGCTTAACTGTGTCCTTGCTGGCAGCTGAAATTTATTTTTGCTTAATTACATTGATTACTTGATTGAAAAGTTCCTTGTGATGCTGAAAAAGGAAATCACTTTTAGCCCTAATTAAAAAAATAATAGAGTAATTCCGCTCCTGAAAAGAGTTGCCCCTAACATTGAAACTCGTCTTTTCCAGTATGGTTTTACATCCCTTTTTCTTTATCAATACCCGGTTCTATTTGAACAAAAGTCTCCAGCAGCCTTTAGCTGAGCCATCATGTAGACTGGTAGACTGGGATGGAGGGTCGTTTTAGATTAAGTATTGAGATCAACTCCAGCTTCTCTGACGCATCAGTTTGGTTAGCTGGTCAGCTAAGTTGTCACGAGATAAGTCAATCTCTTCTCTGGGAGCCGCACCCTTCTTTAAAGAGCTCAGGAGTCTGCGTTCTTGCTCCTATGTCCCCTAAGCCTTCCTTGATAGAAATGTTATGGTGAAGAGGATTCCCAAAGGGACCAGATTCTGCAAGAGATGAGTGGCTCAGGCGTCAGGAGTTACTGCCTGGGGTGTGTAAAAGGCCGGTAGCGACTGTACAGGGACAGCATGCAGGGATGGAAAACCTCTGCCCTCAGAAAGGGTGACTGTGGCTGCTCTTGGGATTGCATCCTACTGGCACTTCGACCTCCGGGGACAACGGGAAAGCACCCAGGTACAAAAATAGGGCACGGACAACACCCCTAACCTGTGGTTAGGCAGATGTTAGGGAATCTTGCCTCCCAGATCTGTTTTCTCCATTGTTTATCACTCTAATATTCAGTAAGTTTGAGGGGTTCCTTTAAAGTGACTCAGTGAAATTGTAGCCTCACCATTCTCCACTGTACAATAGTGTGGCAAAGACTGGTCCAGACTCTGGGGAATTTTCAGATCCTCCATGCCTCTCGTTTCCTGAAGAACATCAAGAGCAGGTAGTTGTCTGCTTCACTCCCCTAAAACTGAAGCAGCTGTGTTTCCAACAATGCCCAAGAGGCCAAGGAGAAAACTGTGAACTGCAGTAGGATCTAACGAGCAATCACCCTGAGCCACCAGTCTTTGTGAGGCGTTTTATGGGTGCAGTGTGGTGGGCCATGAAAGAAATCGGACAGTCGCTCTTAGACATGAAGGCCAGAAGAGCATTTTTCTGATGGCCACCCACCATGGTTGCATGCTGTGGAGAAGTTCCCCACAGAGATCTCTGTGTCTCTGCCTCTGACTGCCCTCATTCCACTCTTCTCTTCCTCATTTTCAAAGGAACCTTCAAGGAGCTACGAAGTAAAATTTACTCCTTCTCCAGGCATATGCAATGGCTTTATGTAATGTATTATTTTGCAGCCTAGCCAATGTGAGAGGCGACATCAGTACTGGGAAAATGATACATGCTGAAATCGCTCAACACAAGAACGTCTGACAATATTGGTATTGCCATGCTAGGGAGGCTGCTGTGGGAAGGCTGATACGCCGGCTCAGGGTCAGCAGTGTAGCCCTGTGCATAAGAGGTGCAGGTGCCTTTACGTTGCCCATGTGCAATGTCAAACGGTGGCCAGATGTGGAGCAAGTCAGAGCTTTTCCCATCTATCTTCTCTAAAGATGCCTGGCCATTGTGGCGAGAGTTAATCCAGCCAGCAGTCCCGAGTTGTTTCTCAGATGCTCAGTGACCTCAGCCAACAATATTTCGCCTTGGACACTTCTGTGGAATTTTTCAAAACCAATTATGCGCTGGTGATCAAAAGCCCACCTTGTCTTCAGGACCGAACGTTGGAAAGATTAGCCAAGGTAACTTATACAAGTGCTTGGGTGGAACCCACAGAAGCCTGGCAGTAGACTGCGGCTTCTGCCTGTGCAGAAGTGGCAGTGGCTGTTACCAGCCGCAGATGGTCGGTCTGTGGTGGAAATGTCTCAGGCTTTCCCTCCCAGTACTGCAGCCACCCAGTCCTGCAGATACCTAACCTGGCTTTTGCTCTGATAGAAGTCTGTTGCTTGTGGTTGCAAGACAGTAAGTAAAAGCACAGAGAAAACAGGGTATTTGTGACCATGGGAAGAGAAAAAGAGAAAACAGGGTATTTGTGACCATGGGAAGAGAAAAAGAGAAAACAGGGTATTTGTGACCATGGGAAGAGAAAAAGAGAAAACTGCAACACCTGGAAGCAGATGGGAGCTGGATGAAGAATCTTCCTCTAGCAAGCTTGCAGGTGAAGGCCAGGATCTGACTGGCTGGGGTCAGCATTGCAGTGCAGCTCCCAAGCTTAACATGAGGCAGCAAAGCTGTGGTAAAAGAAACAAGATACTGCAGTAACATAGACAAACTGGAGCATTAACCACAAGTCCACTTAGGTCACGGCAGGTTAAGACATCAGCTCAAATACTGACTTATATCAGGCTTTGCACAGCAAGACAGAGCGAATCTGCTGTAGAGGGCCCACCAGAGAATTCGGAGGAGAATCAGAAGGCTGAGATAATGCAGCTAGCAAGACAAGACTGACACGAATGGGGTTTTTTTCTGGAGAAAAGCAGCTGGGTAAATAAGGTGCGAAGGAAAATGGATGTTCTTAATAGGGGGATGAGTGGGAGAACAAACCACACACTTAAAGGACAGGAAGAAAGGTGTAGCTGAGAAAGTAATAAAAAAGACCTGAAAGTGGTAGAGATGACAGGGGACCGCAGCAGGTTGTCGGAGGAGGGCGTGCAGTCTTTCTAGCAGATTTCAGGGAAGAGTTGAACAAACATGTGCCGGAGATGACAGAGATGGTTGAGCGAGCTGATGGGTGGACGGATGGCTGAGGTCCCTTTCTTCACGGGAGCGACAAGGTGCAGCGTGGTGACCAGGATTTGTCACTTGCCTGCCAGCCAGCGGGACTGTAGCAGGACCCTCGTTTGCAGACATGTTTCCAGCCCCAGAGGTGGAGTCCCACGGTGTACACCCAGTCAGTGAACCACCTCCCCCCCCGATCACAAAACTCTGCGTGGACCAATCAAGAAATCATCTCCACTTACCAGCTGGAAAAGCAAAAAAAAGTGTCTGGTCTGTGTGCCCGCGCGGTGGGCTTCACTCACAGGTCTCTTTCTTGGGCCACTCGAAACAGAATAGGTTATGTCCAGCACCAGCAGGTAATCAGTCCTTCCCAGCACTACCAGTAAGGCTTCTGTCTAGCAGTACATTAATTTTACAGAGATTAGTGCAAAAGTAATACACTTGAAGATGTTTTTGCATTAGATGAGTAGGACAGAATAAGGAAAATGGCAAAAAAAAGGTGATACATTTTCCACCAGCAAAAATATCGCCACAGTAGGTACTGGTTAAAGGAAAGCACTGCATTAAAATCCTGTTCTGGACAAGGCGACTTGCAGACTGAGTTACTTTCATCAAGGACCATTTTATCCTATTAAACCAAAGTGTACTTCAGCCTGTCATTTCACCCACCTGCTTTTTTCCCCCTCCTTTAAAGAACTGTCAGTCTTTACTCCAGAGATGCCTGGGACTGAAAAACATGCTTATCCCAGGAGAGGATAGTGTCTCAAGGTCACAGTTGATGTGCACTGGTGAGGCAGCATGAGGAAACCTACATTGCGTGAATAAATAAAACGCCGTAGCTCAGCCCAGACTCTGTGGAGGAGACAAGATGGATGGATCAAAAGGTCAGAGTCTTGTTTGATAATGGGGGCAGTTGTCCCAGGAGTGAAGAGGGGAGAAGAGAGTATTTGGTCTATCATTTGTTGCAGCCACTACACAGCAAGGTTGAGGAAGGAAGGAAGAAATACTGTGATTTGAGGTGGACATCTCCAGAGTATACCAGCATGCACTGGAAAGGA